CGGGGCATTGTACAATTTAAAAAAGGAGCTATATTGCATGGGATCCTTGAATCAAACACATTTCTTCTGTCATACAGTAGGCTCCAACAGGTAAACACACCAGTGCAATGCTACAGTACAGTGGTTGTATGTGTCATTTACTCTGTTGCATGGTGGACATGATGGTGGCATGAGTTCCGCAGAGTGACTTGCAAACTAACTGTGACGCTGCTAGACTACTGAGCCAACTAGTAACTACGCACACAGGGATTGTGTTTGTTTGATCTTGGAGAGAATAATTCTCTCATACGAGGGTATAGTTGTTGTGGCTTATTATTTTTGGCCTTATTTTGGTAACGCTTTTTAGAATAGGGCCGCTAGATACTGTACACATTCATTAGTAAATCAAAGCACCATTACTATGTCACACCCTGGCTCTGGGACTCTATATGTTGAGCCAGGGTGTGTGCATTCTATGTGTTCATTTTCTATGTTGGGTGTTCTAGGTTGTCTATGTCTATGTTTGCATGTGTGACTCCCAATCAGAGGCAACGAGTGTCAGCTGTCGGCTGGTTGTCTCTGATTGGGAGCCATATTTAAACTGTGTGTTTTCTCTTGGGTGTTGTGGGTTTTTGTTCCTTATTCGGTCAGTGTAACCGTGGACTTCACGAGTCGTGTTTTGTTTGTATTTAGTACTTTAATTAAATAAAGTCATGTTCGTTTCACACGCTGCGCCTTGGTCTACTCTCCTTTACGACGATCGTGACAGAAAAACCCACCGTACAAGGACCAAGCAGCGTGTCCAGGAGCAGGCAGCCTGGTCATGGGAGGAAGCGCCAGGAAAGGAGATGGAGAGGCTGGCGATGGCCCAGGTGGGCAAAGTGTGGTCCTGGGAGGACATGCTCGGGGGCAAGGGACCTTGGGGTAGGATCAAGGCCCTGGCGAGAGAGGAGCAGCGGCGTCAGCAGTGCCATCGTCGGACGGACGAGAGGCACCCCCAATAATTTTTTAGGGGGGGGCACACGGCATGGGCGACTGGGCAGCAGGAGGCTGCCACAGGGCGAAATAGGAGAAGAGGAGAGAAGGCCACCGGGTTACGGGAGCCATTGGCGAGAGGAGGGAAGGAAGTCGTAGAGGCACGGCGAGAGGGACTGAGGTGTATTGCCAGTCCGGTCCGGCCCGTTCCTGATCCCCGTTTAAAGCCAGTGGTGTGTGTTCCCAGTACGGTCCGGCCTGTCCCTGCTCCACGCACCAAACCTACGGTGTGCGTCGCCAGCCCAGCCCGGCCTGTCCCTGCTCCACGCATCAAACCTACGGTGTGCGTCGCCAGCCCTGCCCGGCCTGTCCCTGCTCCACGCACCAAGCCTACGGTGTGCGTCGACAGCCCTGCCCGGCCTGTTCCTGCTCCACGCACCAAACCTACGGTGTGCGTCGCCAGCCCAGCCCGGCCTGTCCCTGCTCCACGCACCAAACCTACGGTGTGCGTCGCCAGCCCAGCCCGGCCTGTCCCTGCTCCACGCACCAAACCTACGGTGTGCGTCGCCAGCCCAGCCCGGCCTGTCCCTGCTCCACGCACCAAACCTACGGTGTGCGTCGCCAGCCCAGCCCGGCCTGTCCCTGCTCCACGCACCAAACCTACGGTGTGCGTCGACAGCCCAGCCCGGCCTGTTCCTGCTCCACGCACCAAACCTACGGTGTGCGTCGCCAGCCCAGCCCGGCCTGTCCCTGCTCCACGCACCAAGCCTACGGTGTGCGTCGACAGTCCTGTCCGGCCTGTCCCTGCTCCACGCACCAAGCCTACGGTGTGCGTCGACAGCCCAGCCCGGCCTGTCCCTGCTCCACGCACCAAGCCTACGGTGTGCGTCGTCAGCCTGGTCCAGCCCGTTCCTGCCACTCGCACCAAGCCAGGGGTGCAAGTCGTCAGCCTGGTCCAGCCCGTTCCTGCCACTCGCACCAAGCCAGGGGTGCGAGTCGTCAGCCTGGTTCAGCCCGTTCCTGCTACTTGCACCAAGCCCGGGGGGCGAGTCGTCAGCCTGGTAAGACCGGTCAGCTGCTCCACAACGGAGCGTAAGCAATCCGCTCCGTCAATGTCCAGTCCAGATCCAGCCAGCGGGGTCAGACCGGACCAGGGGCGCTACGGGGGAATTATGGAGGGGTGGTGGTCAAGGCCGGAGCCGGAGCCGCCTCCGAGGAGGAATGCCCACCCAGCCCTCCCCTGTTTGGGGTTTTGTTGAGGCGCGGTCGCAGTCCGCGCCTTTAGGGGGGGGGTACTGTCACACCCTGGCTCTGGGACTCTATATGTTGAGCCAGGGTGTGTGCATTCTATGTGTTCATTTTCTATGTTGGGTGTTCTAGGTTGTCTATGTCTATGTTTGCATGTGTGACTCCCAATCAGAGGCAACGAGTGTCAGCTGTCGGCTGGTTGTCTCTGATTGGGAGCCATATTTAAACTGTGTGTTTTCTCTTGGGTGTTGTGGGTTTTTGTTCCTTATTCGGTCAGTGTAACCGTGGACTTCACGAGTCGTGTTTTGTTTGTATTTAGTACTTCAATTAAATAAAGTCATGTTCGTTTCACACGCTGCGCCTTGGTCTACTCTCCTTTACGACAATCGTGACATACTAGCTCTGCATTTACCTCCTACATAAACCAATGCTTATATGCAAACAACAATGTTTATCTCACTGTGTAAACTAGGTAAACCTGACATTAACATGAGCTGATGTGATGTTTTGTAACCTTTGAGGGGCGTCTGACCTTCAACATTTCCTTTTACATATTGTAAAGCAATACAACATATTACACATAAAGAGGCTGTCTTCTAGAAAATAGTATAATGCCTCATCCATTCACTACAAAGCTTAATCTTTTGATTTAGTAATGTGACATGAGTGAATATTTTGAAAGTCATCCCAGCCATAAGCACAAACCTGAACAAATTAAACGGAATGCGTTTCTGACACGTGAAGTACATATGCAGCTCTGAGGGAAAAATAAAGGTCCAACTTGTCCTGCTAATGTGTGTCTTTCAAACCAATGAGGGTAAGGGAAGATAGGACAAATTAAATGAGGAGCATACCACAAAACATTAAGGATTCGGAGGATGCCAAGTATTCGAGGAAGTCAAAAATGAATCTGAAAAGGACTTATATTAGTTGCCATAAAAATAGTGTTAATGTTAAATGTTGTTTTAGCATGCGTTTCGAGTAAGGCTTTACAATCTGCAAATTTCAGTAAGATAAGAGGAAATTATCAGTTTGTTTTCAAAGTGCAAGAAAAGTTAAAGAATTCTTAGCTTTTGTTAGTTTGTGCCATTGAATTTATTTAGGAAAATGCTTTAGTTTCCATGCAGTGTTTTTCCTCCCTAAAAAGAGGATAAAACCACCCCTTAAAAAGGATCTATTGATTTTCTTGTGAAAACTGTTTGAGTCCTACAGTTTATGGTGTAGTCTTGATTTTACTCACTAAATCCTTCCTTTAGGTCTGTGGGTGTGACAATCCGAACACTCTGAAAGTACTGTAGTTGGATGAGGAAATCGTTCTTGTCAAACCTCAACACTGTTCAGCAACAGCATTTTCAGCATTTCTCTTTCTCTCTCTAGCTCAGTTCCACTCAATTCGTTTGTTTTAATTTCTTTAAGGCATTAGGGGAGAGTGGGGTATGTTGAGCCATTTTTTACATTCAGCATCACTACGTCAAGGGAAATATAGTATTCTTTCTAACAAAGATATATATATATATATATATATATATATATATATATATATATATTTCAGGATGTTGTGTATCCCTGGAAATAATCAGAATTCATGTAAACTTACGTTTTGAAAACAGCTTGTCCAAAAAAAAGTGGTCTCTTGGCATAACTTACCCCGGGTATGGGGTAAATTGAGCATAGGGACAGGGTAAGTTGAGCCACCTTGGGGTAAGATTGTCAGGGACTGGAAGTTGTTTCAATGTACCAATTCGTAGGCAAGTTCTCTGCATTTGAGGCTCCTAAGCCCACGAAACTGGTATGTTTAGCAAGCTCAGACTCCATGTCATCAGACAAGACCCTATGTGCCTCTGCTACTCCATCATAGCACATAGGTACATATTCGTTTTCTTTTTTGTCTTCAGTGTCATTCTGTCTTTTTTCATCCCTTGCTTGAATGGACTTCTTCCCTTCTCTCACTTCCTTGGCTGCTCTTTCAAGAACCTCAAGAGGGGCTAGACCCCTGCTTGTTTTATGTTTGTATACACAGGGCATGATGATGTCTGCTCTGTAACAATAGAAATGCACTACCTTGAGTTCATACGCATGACAAATTGCAAAAATACTATGCCTACAACTGACAAAATGCAATCATTTGTATGGTGTAAGTTGAGCCATTGGCTCAACTTGCCCCTGGCCAAATGGCACAATTTACCCCAAAGCAACTATTTTGACTATATTAGCCCACACAGCTACAATGATGCACTTTCATGCTAGGTTAAGGACCTCATATTGTAGCTTATATAGACCCCAACTGATGTATAAAACAGTCTTAAAACTATCTACTTTGGTTTAAATACAAGCATCATGAAACCTATAATAACAAATTAATTTGTTATTTTGGACCTAACTTGCTTACCACTTTTTCCATGTGGTTTCTTTCTTCACAGACTTCATGAAATGATAACCCCTTCCTAAATATTTGGTCACATTAATAATTTTGTGTATGGTTTCCTAGAAAAAGGGGTGGCTCAACTAACCCTTTGGCATGACTTACCCCACTCTCCCCTACTTGTACAATCTTTGCCCGTCCTTGTGCTCTTCTGGGAAATCACAAATTGCAGTGCAAATCCATCGCAAAATAGTCTCTTCTTCGAGCACATGCAGTATCAAGACTGCAGAGGTACTTAAATACAATTCTTGTAGTGTGTGCAAAAAAGACCACACACTTGTCATTAACTGGACAAAACAGCCCTTTCCATCTGTACACTTTGGGTTCTTGGCTGTTGGTAGGAGAGTAGAGCCTCAGCTCTATGGCTCATCTCCACTCACATGTCCAGGTTGAAGGCTTTCATGAGTAGGTCTAGGTCTCCGATATTGGCCGCCTGGAAGAGCTCCGGCTGGTCCATCATGGAGAGGGCTATCCGCAGGGCGGCCCAGATGTTCCCCGACATTACCTGGTGCGAGAGCTGCCGACTCCGGCTCTTCCTCTGCAGACTCAGTGCCGTTAGGAAGTTACTGGCCGCCTCCCTAAAATACAAGAGAAAGACTTGACCGTTAGAGAACCTTGTGATTAGTTGCTATCATTATGACATATGTACATTAGAGCGAGTGTTACTAGGTTCAGGGCTGATGTGTTTGACATATTAATAGGGACTTTGCTGATACTTGTAACATTAGTGATTGAACTTGTAAGTGTAAGATAGCGCATTATTAGGCTCAATGTAATTCAGTGTCCCCACCTCACTCCACTCCACTGACTCTACCAGAGCAGAAACTCAAAGCCTTCTGCTGCAGTGCCAGGTGCTGCGTCGGAGAGCACCAGATGGCTCTTAGTTAGACCTCCACCCACAACCCCCACCCTCCTCCACCACCCCTTGCCCCCCGCTCACCCACCTGTGTGCTCCCAGGTTGATGCAGCTGATGCCCAGGTTGTAGCGGGACCTAATGAAGCCCGGCTGGAGCTCCAGGGCTCTGGTGTAGGCTTCCACCGCCTCCTCGCTGCGGTCCCCGTTAGCCAGCGTGGCCCCCAGGCGGTTCCACAGCAGGTAGTCCTAGAGGAGACAGACAGGGGGAAGGAGTCAACACCGGAGGGGAGAATGGTGACATAGTATAGTGGTTGGTTTTGACGTTTGGTTTCAGACAGTGGTTAGACAGTGTCAGACATGGTCAGACGGTGTCATGGTCTGTGAACCCAGCAACTGTCGACTGAGGGTATGTGGTTCATTGGCAGATTTATGGACTCAGATTTTTTTGCACTGTGATTCATTCCATCAGGCGCTACATCACTACAATGGTTTAGTATTGGAACATATTTGTTGCTAATGATAATTGTTGTGTAGTGTAATGGGAAGTCTAATCAGAAATTAACAGTGCCTACTTTGGTAGAAGTATTGCAAGTAAAATTAAGTAGAATTTTGACTGTGATATAACGGCAATTTCGACACTACAATAAAGCATCTTTGAGAGCGGTACATAATTTGCCTGTTCTTCCACTGTAACTTTCGTGTGTAAATGACTGTAATTTAGGTACTGTGGTGTGATTGGGCTTGTATGCTCCGTGGTATATTATTTCTACCTCACGTTGCAAAACACCCTGTGAAAACCTAGCAACGCTGAAGTTCCAAGGATCATTTGAGGAAGGTTCGGTTGCGTCATTAAGTCAGTCCTTGACTCCTTAGATGTGTCTCCCACCTGGGGATATACAGTGAGGGAAAAAAGTATTTGATCCCCTGCTGATTTTGTACGTTTGCCCACTGACAAAGAAATTATCAGTCTATAATTTTAATGGTAGGTTTATTTGAACAGTGAGAGACAGGATAACAAAAAAGAAATCCAGAAAAACGCATGTCAAAAATGTTATAAATTGATTTGCATTTTAATGAGGGAAATAAGTATTTGACCCCTCTGCAAAACATGACTTAGTACTTGGTGGCAAAACCCTTTTTGGCAATCACAGAGGTCAGACGTTTCTTGTAGTTGGCCACCAGGTTTGCACACATCTCAAGAGGGATTTTGTTCCACTCCTCTTTGCAGATCTTCTCCAAGTCATTAAGGTTTCGAGGCTGACGTTTGGCAACTTGAACCTTCAGCTCCCTCCACAGATTTTCTATGGGATTAAGGTCTGGAGACTGGCTAGGCCACTCCAGGACCTTAATGTGCTTCTTCTTGAGTCACTCCTTTGTTGCCTTGGCTGTGTGTTTTGGGTCATTGTCATGCTGGAATACCCATCCACGACCCATTTTCTGTGTTGCATTTAATTTGCCCCAAACATAACACTTGGTATTCACTTTTTTTGCATTACTTTAGTGCCTTGTTGCAAATAGGATGCATGTTTTTGAATATTTTTATTCTGTACAGGCTTCCTTCTTTTCACTCTGTCAATTAGGTTAGTATTGTGGAGTAACTACATGTTGTTGATCCATCCTCAGTTTTCTCCTATCACAGCCATTAAACTCATAAGTGTTTTAAAATCACCATTGGCCTCATGGTGAAATCCCTTAGCGGTTTCCATCCTCTCCGGCAACTGAGTTAGGAAGGACGCCTGTATCTTTGTAGTGACTGGGTGTATAGATACACCATCCAAAGTGTAATTAAATAACTTCACCATGCCCAAAGGGATATTCAATGTCTGTTTTTTTATTTGTACCCAACTACTAATAGGTGCCCTTCTTTGAGGCATTGGAAAACCTCCCTGGTCTTTGTGGTTGAATCTGTGTTTCAAATTCACTGCTCGACTGAGGGACCTTACAGATAATTGTACAGTATGTGTGGGATACAGAGATGAAGTAGACATTTAAAAAATCATGTTAAACACTATTATTGCACACAGAGTGAGTCCGTGCAACTTACTATGTGACTTGTTAAGCACATTTTTACTCCTGAAGTGATTTAGGCTTGCCATAACAAAGGGGTTCGACTTATCGAATCAAGACATTTCAGCTTTTCATGTTTAATTAATTTGTTAAAATGTCTAAAAACATAATTCCACTTTGACATTATGGGGTATTGTGTGTAGGCCAGTGACACAAAAATCACAATTTAATCAATTTTAAATGCAGGATTTAACACAACAAAATGTGGAAAAAGTCAAGGGATGTGAATACTTTCTGAAGGCACAGTCAAAAATGGCAGAGTAATTAAAAAAGTAAATTTGTTTTGAGTCAACGCTCTCTGCTCTCCTAGTGTTAAAGGATACGGGCTTGAGCTGCACCATGCAGAGGCTGTAGTGCAGGGAGGGTGAACCAGGAGTTCATGAGACTGGATTTCTCAGCCCAAAGCTCTCAAGTTTGGGATGAAGTGCTTCAGTGATTTGTGTGACAGTTTGGTGTGCCTCAGTGATTCTGTTTGCATGAACTCTTCCTTTCTCTCGCTATCTTGGGTCGTGTTTTGGGGATTCGTGACCGTGATCAGTCGTCTGTGTGTGTGTGTTTGCATGTGCAAGATTGTGTGTGCATGTGCATAGTAGGTGTATCAGAGTGTGTATGTGTGTGCGTGTGTACGCACGTTTGTGTGTAAAGTCAGATTGACAAACACAGTGTTTGTGTGTTTACGCTGCCCCCCTACCTCTGGCCGCACCGACAGAGCAGCATTGAAGGCCTCCACAGCTTTGTTGAACTCGGCGCTGATGTTGAACAGCACGCCCAGGCCCGTCTGCAGGTCTGGGTCAGTATCCCTGTTGTGCTGGGCAGCCTCCAGGAACAACTCCTTGACCTCCGGCAGTAGGGAGCTGTGGGCAGACAAACAGGGCTTAGAGCCTATATGGAGTAGAGACACACTGGCAACCAGCAGAGTAATGCTCTTGAGAGAGTCCTGCCACGGCGCTGCCCATCCCCATGCGTCCACTTTATTCAATCGCCATACTGATTGAGTGTGGGGGAAGGGAGGAGATGGAGAGGGAAAGCGAGAGAGATGGAGAGGGAGGATGAGGAAGAAGGAGAGGGAGAGATTGAGAGGGGGCTGTACCTGCATCTCGCTGTTGAATAGAGGATTTGATAAAGTCATGTTTTCCCTACAGTTTATATAGGCTCCTAACTGATATTTATTTATTTTCATGTGACACCTAAAAGTATGCCCTTAAAAGGAAAAAAGCATCCTGAATAGTGGTTGTTTAACGATGAATACATGTGAGAGCACGCTTGCTCGATCGGCAAGAAAATTACACCGACACCAGCTGTGGTTGAAAAACCTTGAAATGACGTTTCCTTTCATTTATGACAGGAGGTAATAGTCATTGCACTGAAACAACTGAGTTTCTAAAACGGCACGGCTAAAAATAACATAACTGAGCGGGAGACATAAAGCACACCATAGCATAAAATATGCATCAATGAGCCATTCTGTAATATTGTCACGGTGCTCAGGCTAAGAGACTGTAAAGGAGAGAGAGAGCGAGAGTGCCAGCAATGTGCTTAAAAAAAGTAATAGATGTCAGATTTAGTGCTGTTGAATGAAGGTGCCCCGGCACTTACTATAGCAGATCATACTTCTCCAATGTTAACTGTGTAATTCTGAATGGCCTGCATCTCTTCTCTTTCTCCATATTGTACAGTCATCCTATACCGTTCTCCTACAAAATGAGCATGCACTTACTTACACCTATGGGATCTATGCTAGTGCTATCCAGTCCTTATACTCTACCTCTCATACCTGCCCACAGTAGAGACACGAGACATCCTACGTTGGCAGCCTGGGGAGCCCGCCAGGTGGCTCTTGTCCTTCAGCAGGTGATTGTACTTAGAGTTGTGGCGGAGCCAGCACAACAGCACCTCGCAGGCATCCTGCCTCATGCCCGTGTTGGTCAGGCTCACCGCAAGGGCCATGAGGGCCTGGAGGTTGTTGGGGTGGAGCTCCAGACACCTGGAGATACAGAGAGAGGGGGTGAATGGGGGTAGTGAGCACTTCAAAGGGTTTGACGGACACTAATTTTGACAGGCCACAGCTAAGGAACATCAGGAGGCACCTAATGATGCCTGGGGTCAGGTGGCAAGGACCAGTCCCCTCTTGGGGTGACATACAAGTATCCCAGGCTAGCATATTGCCTTCAAAAGCATTTGGTTCATATGAGTTACTTTGGGGCTTGCAATTGCTGTTGCTACTCTCCACTTTTGAAGTTAACAAGAAAATTGTTTTATCTTGTTCGCACTGTTGCTGTGGCATCAGAACTATAATATTATGAGATATTAAAAAGAGCTATGTTGGATGAACAACAAGGATTAGTGAGCACTCGATTTGTCTTTCATCAAAATAATGTTCCACTGGGATTTGTGACAGACTGACAGCCAATGCTCCAACTTCCTTGTAATCCCAGGAAAACCGAATTATTTTGGGCAGACTTGCTACTGTGCCATGGGTCTCTGACTGTTATATAAAGTTAGTTTACAATTGGTATACAGTGCAGATGCTCCGTTCATCTTTTAAGATAATGTGTTATCTGCTACAAAAAAACTTTTTCTCAGAGTTCTCTAATTCAGACTTCTCAGGAATACACAATGGGGCTACAAAAACGCAATGTAAACAGAAAATATACTAGAAAATAAAAGTATTGTGATATTAATAATAGAACAGTGCTGTATTTCAGGAGATTAGTCATTCTGAGGAGATTATATAAAAGCTTTACAGTTTTAAACCATTTGTTTTAACACCAATGATTAATTAACCCAAATGCACTCGATTGAATTTTGTTCCTTCGTACGAGATGATTGCATTCATCTGCAGCTAATGAAATCCAAGCATTGGCCTAGGATCTTATGAAATGCACATTTAATTGGATAAGCATTTCTTGCTGTTCTGTGTCTCTTTCGATTTCCTTCTAAGTGTTTACATTCTCACAGATGGATCAAGCTGTTGTTTGATCTGTTGTTTGTCCTATCTACCTTCTGACAAGGTAATATAAAATGGGCCATCTTTCCACTCGTGGAGCCCGCCACCTTTGGCTCTCTGATAGAAACCACTGAACCATGTGGCACGTATATTCTGAGGAAAAAATGTAAATGTATTTTCTTTCATGGCTGTAGACCGAGCCAGTCGATAAAATGTAGTAGTAGCCTAGCCTAGGACCAGGGCTTTGAATATCTTAGATACAATATCTAACTTTAACATCAAAAATGGTTTTCATCTAAGATGGCTATACATTTCTGAAGCAGCTGAGGAATATTGGAAACTACAGAGAAGTGACAAATGCATGCAGTGTATTGCCATGTTTGTGGTGGAGCCTATGGGTCCACGTTGGGCAGTAACACCTCCTTACCTCTGGAGGGAGACAATAGCAGCCTGCTCGTTCTCATTCTCGGCCTGGGTGGTCCCCAACACTTGCCAAGCCTGGGGAGACAATGGGGAGCATTGAACAACAGGGTCATCACCTGGGCTTAACATCCTCTCTAAGGAGAGACTGTGTGGTCCAGATGCAGAGCTCAGAACTCTGAGGCATAGGATGACTCACTCGCAGTCAATGCTCTCAGTACCACTCACACAGCCGCTTCTGCCGTTGGTAAAGAACAGAACAGTCAGGAAGCATCTTGTATCTCAAACAGTCTCTGCAATACAAACTTTTGTCTGAAGTTTGTCTAAAGGGAAGTTAGGACACATCAAAATACAATTGCGGCAATTAACATTGCAAGGTGATTAGCTTTGAGCTTTGTCTTCTGACAGAAACAGTAGTGTTGTGCCAGCCAAGTTAATTTAGGATTGTTGAGCCTCCTCACTCTGGTATTGGGGGTTTCCTATTAAGATGATGCATCCTGGTATTGTATTGTTCTAAAGAGCCAATAAGAATGAATTAATGAGATAAAGTTGCGGGGCATATTTCACATGCCACTTTCGCAAAGGCTCACTCGAGATACTTGGCAACCAACCAAATTCATTAGGTGTACCTGATAAGTCCTGAAACCCAACTTTGAATCTCCATACCATCCAACGACAATTGCATTTGGACAGCAAGCTGATTCTGCAATCTAAACACACTAGATTACATGTATCTTTCAGTCTCTGTGAAGAAACAAATATGATCTATGTAGGTTAAGCTGCGTTCTGGTTTATTTTGTGAATTGACATTGATACTCAATTTGTGAGTCTCTGCAGACAATTCTCATTAGGAGATGAAGACAGGGTAGTTTTGCTACAGTAAACAACTCTATTAACAGTATAATTCCCCAGTCCTCCACTAGCAATCAGCGTCAGCCACTTAGCGCTCCCTGAGTGTCGACCGTACACATGATTTGTGAAGTTCAGAGTTATGGTGTTGTCTGAACAGGCTGATTGGCAGTTGGTGCCAGTATATTATGGTCCGGTGTGAAAGTCATGCTGGAAATGTGTGTGATTACTGTGCCTGTGTCTCATCAGCCCCCTGTGCCTGTTCACCTCTGAGTCCTGGGGATCCTGTAAAATGGCCCCCTCCAGTAACAGCACAGCGTTGGGCAGGTCTCCCTCTTTGGACTTTCGAAACCCCTCCTTAAATGCGTTGGGCCAGTCCTTGTAGGGGTTGTCCGTGTGAAAGTAGTAGCCCTGTCACCAATAAAAAATAAATAAAAAAAACAGTAAAGGGAAAATCGGGAAAATCAGCAATATCAGCACTCTGAAAAATTGTGACACTGAGCGACTCTCCTCTAGAGTACAACATTTAAGCAAAACACTCAGGGCTCTATTTTAACAAACCTAATGCAATCTAAGCACTGGCAGTAGCGCTATAGGTCCGGGGGTGTGTCAGAAATATGTTTTCTATTTTCACAGCTGTTATTATGAACGCAATAGCTGGCGGTAGTGCTACAGGGCTGTGTTTGAAAGAATAAACAAGTTGTAGGTGTGACAAGGGCTTGGCCACTGACATACTGCATGCGTTTGTCTCAAGTTATGTAGCTAATGCCACGTTCACATGCTAGTTGGAAATTGGAACCTTAGAGTTAATTTTAACTTTAATTATTTGTGTAAAGCTTCCTATTGGTTGATTCTGGTATCTCCCAAGTGGGAAACTCGGGATCTGACTCTTCCGCCTAGGTTAGCAAGTCGAAAATGTCAGAGTTTCCTAGTTACGACTAGCAAGTGAAAGCGGCATTATTGACATCTTTGCATTGTTATCAACTCCAATTCGGCTGGGGACACGGAATTATCTTGGTGTCAGCATCAACTGTTCAGAGGAGACTGTGTGAATCAGGCCTTCATGGTCGAATTGCTGCAAAGAAACCACTACTAAAGGACACCAATAAGAAGAAGAAGAGACTTGCTTGGGCCAAGAAACGTGCTCTCACCACTGGTGTCCCCCAGGGCTCAGTTCTAGGCCCTCTCCTATTCTCGCTATACACCAAGTCACTTGGCTCTGTCATATCCTCACATGGCCTCTCCTATCATTGCTACGCTGATGATACACAACTAATCTTCTCCTTTCCCCCTTCTGATAACCAGGTGGCGAATCGCATCTCTGCATGTCTGGCAGACATATCAGTATGGATGACGGATCACCACCTCAAGCTGAACCTTGGCAAGACGGAGCTGCTCTTCCTCCCGGGGAAGGACTGCCCATTCCATGATCTCGCCATCACGGTTGACAACTCCGTTGTGTCCTCCTCCCAGAGTGCGAAGAGCCTTGGCGTGACCCTGGACAACACCCTGTCGTTCTCCGCTAACATCAAGGCGGTGACCCGATCCTGTAGGTTCATGCTCTACAACATTCGGAGAGTACGACCCTGCCTTACACAGGAAGCGGCACAGGTCCTAATCCAGGCACTTGTCATCTCCCGTCTGGATTACTGCAACTCGCTGTTGGCTGGGCTCCCTGCCTGTGCCATTAAACCCCTACAACTCATCCAGAATGCCGCAGCCCGTCTGGTGTTCAACCTTCCCAAGTTCTCTCACGTCACCCCGCTCCTCCGCACACTCCACTGAATTCCAGTTGAAGCTCGGATCTGTTACAAGACCATGGTGCTTGCCTATGGAGCTGTGAGGGGAACGGCACCTCCGTACCTTCAGGCTCTGATCAGTCCCTACACCCAAACGAGGGCATTGCGTTCATCCACCTCTGGCCTGCTGGCTCCCCTTCCTCTGCGGAAGCATAGTTCCCGCTCAGCCCAGTCAAAACTGTTCGCTGCTCTGGCACCCCAATGGTGGAACAAGCTCCCTCACGACGCCAGGACAGCGGAGTCACTCACCACCTTCCGGAGACATTTGAAACCCCACCTCTTTAAGGAATACCTGGGATAAAGTAATCCTTCTACCCCCCCCCCCCCAATTTTTATTTTTTTTAAATAAAAAAATTTGTAAAGTGGTTATCCCACTGGCTATAGGGTGAATGCACCAATTTGTAAGTCGCTCTGGATAAGAGCGTCTGCTAAATGACGTAAATGTAAATGTAAAAGAAACACGAGCAATCTCCAAATTTGAGATTTTTGGTTCCAACCGCTGTGTCTTTGTTAGACGCCGTGTGGGTGAACGGATGATCTCTGCATGTGTATTTCCCACCGTAAAACATGGAGGAGGAGGTGTTATGGTATAGGGTGCTTTGCTGGTGACACTCTGATTTATTTAGAATTCAAGGTACACTTAACCAGCATGGCTACCACAGCATTCTGCAGCGATACGCCATCCCATCTGGTTTGGGCTCAGTGGGACTATCATTTGTTTTTCAACAGGACAATGAACCAACACACCTCCAGGCTGTGTAAGGGCTATTTTACCAAGAAGGAGAGTGATGGAGTGCTGCATCAGATGACCTGGCCTCCACAATCCCCCGACCTCAACCCAATTGAGATGGTTTGAGATGAGTCGGACCGCAGAGTGAAGGAAAAGCAGCCAACAAGTGCTCAGCATATGTGGGAACTCCTTCAAGACTGTTGGAAAAGCATTCCAGGTGAAGCTGGTTGAGAGAATGCCAAGAGTGTGCAAAGCTGTTATCAAGGCAATGGGTGGCTACTTTGAAGAATCTCAAATATAAAATATATTTTGATTTGTTTAACACTTTTTTGGTTACAACATGATTCCATATGTGTTATTTAATAGTTTTGATGTCTTCACTATTATTCTACAATGTAGAAAATAGTAAAAATAAAGGAAATCCCTTGAATGAGTAGGTGTTCTAAAACTTTTGACCGGTAGTGTATATCCTTTATAAAGGAAGAGAAACTTAGGTCTAACCTCAGAGAGATAGAGTTAGAGATAGAGATATGCCGGTGGCATGCTATGTCAGATGGCTACTTCGTCTGCTATACAGATATGTGACCGACTGGCTCGATTCGGTCTTTAGTAGCAAAACTAGAAATTGTGTTTTTTACATTGGATAAAAGTAGAGACTCCGAGCTAGAAAATTGTATATCATACACTACAGTTGAGGAACAATGGGAAAGTAATTCTGCTTTGAAAGTTGATTAACTTGTAACCCTACTTTTGAGAAAATGACCCTTGAATGTTTTGGTACACCTACTAGAGAGCTCTTCTTTGTCTACACCCATTCAGCACTGTTCACACCCTCTTAAGCATTAGCCCCACCAATCTCTTTAAGGATTCACGTGAGGCCATGTGCTAAACAACCAAAGATTTCAAGACTAAAGGCTGGTTTATACTACGTCTATTGACATGTCTGTATACAGTTGTTGCAGTAGCATCATGAACATTCTATTGTCATCTGACATAAAACTAGTCGTTGTAGTTATGAAAAATTATAAACACAAAAACGAGAGGCTGCATGACATCAGTAGCCTGGTGGTCCAAAATAGCGTAACTGGTGTATTTTAACACCAATAAACCCATCCGTTTAAAAATGAATTTAGTATATGTAAATCTACAGTGCCTTGCAAAGGTTTTCATCCTCCTTTGCGTTTTTCCTATTTTGTTGCATTTCAACCTGTAATTTAAATGGATTTTTATTTGGATTTCATGTAATGGACATACACAAAATAGTCCAAATTGGTGAAGTGAAATGAAAAAAATTACTTGTTTCAAAAACGTCTAAAAAATAAATAATGGAAAAGTGGTGCGTGCATACAGTGGGGAGAACAAGTATTTGATACACTGCCGATTTTGCAGGTTTTCCTACTTACAAAGCATGTAGAGGTCTGTAATTTTTATCCAAAAATCCAGAAAATCACATTGTATGATTTTTAAGTAATTAATTTGCATTTTATTGCATGACATAAGTATTTGATACATCAGAAAAGCAGAACTTAATATTTGGTACAGAAACCTTTGTTTGCAATTACAGAGATCATACGTTTCCTGTAGGTCTTGACCAGGTTTGCACAGACTGCAGCAGGGATTTTGGCCCACTCCTCCATACAGACCTTCTCCAGATCCTTCAGGTTTCGGGGCTGGAAGACCCAGCCACGACCCATCTTCAATTCTCTTACTGAGGGAAGGAGGTTGTTGGCCAAGATCTCGCGATACATGGCCCCATCCATCCTCCCCTCAATACGGTGCAGTCGTCCTGTCCCCTTTGCAGAAAAGCATCCCCAAAGAATGATGTTTCCACCTCCATGCTTCACGGTTGGGATGGTGTTCTTGGGGTTGTACTCATCCTTCTTCTTCCTCCAAACACGGCGAGTGGAGTTTAGACCAAAAAGCTATATTTTTGTCTCATCAGACCACATGACCTTCTTCCATTCCTCCTCTGGATCATCCAGATGGTCATTGGCAAACTTCAGACGGGCCTGGACATGTGCTGGCTTGAGCAGAGGGACTTTGCGTGCGCTGCAGGATTTTAATCCATGACGGCGTAGTGTGTTACTAATGGTTTTCTTTGAGACTGTGGTCCCAGCTCTCTTCTGGTCATTGACCAGGTCCTGCCATGTAGTTCTGGGCTGATCCCTCACCTTCTTCATGATCATTGATGCCCCACGAGGTGAGATCTTGCATGGAGCCCCAGACCGAGGTTGATTGACCGTCATCTTGAACTTCTTCCATTTTCTAATAATTGTGCCAACAGTTGTTGCCTTCTCACCAAGCTGCTTGCCTATTGTCCTGTAGCCCATCCCAGCCTTGTGCAGGTCTACAATTTTATCCCTGATGTCCTTACACAGCTCTCTGGTCTTGGCCATTGTGGAGAGGTTGGAGTCTGTTTGATTGAGTATGTGGACAGGTGTCTTTTATACAGGTAACGAGTTCAAACAGGTGCAGTTAATACAGGTAATGAGTGGAGAACAGGAGGGCTTCTTAAAGAAAAACGAACAGGTCTGTGAGAGCCGGAATTCTTACTGGTTGGTAGGTGATCAAATACTTATGTCATGCAATAAAATGTAAATTAATTACTTAAAAATCATACAATGTGATTTTCTGGATTTTTGTTTTAGATTCCGTCTCTCACAGTTGAAGTATACCTATGATAAAAATTACAGACCTCTACATGCTTTGTAAGTAGGAAAACCTGCAAAATCGGCAGTGTATCAAATACTTGTTCTCCCCACTGTATGTATTCACCCCCTTTGCTACGAAGGCCCTAAATAAGACCTGGTGCAACCAATTACCTTTTAAAGTCACATAATTAGTTAAATAATGTCCACCTGTGTGCAATCTAAGTGTCACATGATCTCAGTATATATACACACACCTGTTCTCAAAGGCCCCAGAGTCTGCAACACCACTAAGCAAGGGGCACCATGAAGACCAAGGAGCTCTCCAAACAGGTCAGGGACAAAGTTGTGGAGAAACTTTGAACATCCCACGGAGCACCATTAAATCCATTATTTAAAAAATTGACAGAATGGCACCACAACAAACCTGCCAAGAGAGGGCCGCCCACCAAAACTCACAGACCAGGCAAGGAGGGCATTAATCAGAGAGGCAACAGATAGACCAAAGATAACCCTGAAGGAGCTGCAAAGCTCCACAGCGGAGATTGGAGTATCTGTCCATAGGACCACTTTAAGCCGTACACTCCACAGAGCTGGGCTTTACGGAAGAGTGGCCAGAAAAAAGCCATTGCTTAAAGAAAAAAATAAGCAAACATGTCTGGTGTTCGCCAAAAGGCATGTGGGAGACTACATATATAAGAAGGTACTCTGGTCAGATGAGACTAAAATTGAGCGTTTTGGCCATCAAGGAAAATGCTATGTCTGGCACAAACCCAACACCTCTCATTACCCAGAGAACACCATCCCCACAGTGAAGCATGGTGGTGGCAGCATCATGCTGTGGGGATGTTTTTCATCGGCAGGGACTGGGAAACTGGTCAGAATTGAAGGAATGATGGATGGCGCTAAATACAGGGAAATTCTTGAGGGAAACCTGTTTCAGTCTTCCAGAGATTTCAGACTGGGACGGAGGTTCACCTTCCAGCAGGACAATGACCCTAAGCATACTGCTAAAGCAACACTTGAGTGGTTTAAGGGGAAACATTTAAATGTCTTGGAATGGCCTAGTCAAAGCCCAGACCTCAGTCCAATTGAGAATCTGTGGTATGACTTAAAGATTGCTGTACACCAGCGGAACCCATCCAACTTGAAGGAGCTGGAGCAGTTTTGCCTTGAAGAATGGGCAAAAATCCCAGTGGCTAGATGTGCCAAACTTATAGAGACATACCCCAAGAGACTTGCAGCTGTAAGTGCTGCAAAGGGTGGCTCTACAAAGTATTGACTCTGTCTTTTTGTCTTATTTCACACATTTTTTTATTTTGCATCTTCAAAGTGGTAGGCATGTTGTGTAAATCAAATGATACAAAAAAATCAATTTTAATTCCAGGTTGTAAGGCAACAAAATAGGAAAAATGCCAAGGGAGGTGAATACTTTCGCAAGCCATTGTAGCAAACCAGGCAACTACAAGCAACTTTCTAAACAATGTTTTGGTTTGTTTCTAACTTGTTAGCTAGTTAGCTAACGTTAAGTCAAATAATGACCACATCATATAACTGACAACGTCTTAACTTTAGCTAATTTGTACTCATTATTACAGGAAAATAAACTCACAACAAGATCATTATTTACAAGTTAATGGCGAGCTAATTACAGAAAATAGCTTACGGTTGTGAGTGGGACAAAATAAAAGCAGGGCATTCTACCGGAGAATTTTAGAACTCGGACACTGTCTCGTTGGCCTAACGTTATATCCTAATTTGACTTTGGTGAAGGTCATGTTGTTCTTCACATTACTGTCTTTGGTAAACATACACCTATATAAAATCTAAGTGTATTTGTCACATGCACAGGATACAGAAGGTGTAAACGGTACAGTGAAATGCTTACTTGCATAGTGGAGTCTTTTGTTTAGACATGTAGCTAGCTAGCTAAACAATGAACCATAATCCCAACTCATAACGTTACTACCTTGCATGAATCTACAGGTAGCTAAAGCTAACCAACTAGGTTCAATGTTGGCTAGCTAGCTAACATTAGGCTATAACTAGCAATGCAAATGGCCTGAGATACGAATAATATTACTACACAGATCATACACTAGCTAGCTAACAGTACGCTTTAACCACTTTCTGACACAATTAGAAACGCATAATTTCTGAAAATGTAGCTAGCTAGACTCTCTTACCCGTATACATGGATGAACGCTTCTCCCTCTGTCACTGATGCCATGGATGCCCTTAGTTTGAAGATGTAATCCGGAGACAGGTGTTTTATACAATCGCCTTCTGTGTGTTCTCTTTTTGAGTCCCTCTGCATATCAAACATGAATTTTCTCCATCTCCTTAGCTATAATACTCTGCTTCAACCGGGCATTCCACTGATTTCAAAACTTGGTCCTCCAGAGAGTGGAGAGTGGAGAGCATTAGCAACATTATCACAATTCTTCATGATATCTTTCAAAAAAGCCGCGTTAGAAAGGATTACCTACACATACAGAGCAGCTCATGTCATAGATAGAAGCGTGCTACATGGCAGACCAATCCGAACTAATCTCTCAGCATATCCAGCCCATTCAATATCTCATCCAATCATGGCTAACGGGAAGGTTCCTGTCTTTTTCCGTTGCTAAACCAACTAGGCTCGTAATTTAACAATTGTATTCGTATTTACAGATGGCATACAAGTTTGTTATTAAGTCACATGAACATTCACATGTTCCAGAGGGCATTTCTGCCCAAAAACATTGAAATGCCTCTCCTGTCAAGTAGTGACGTGCCACATATGCCTAGTTTCCTGAAATTATTCACATATAGATGTAAAGAAGGAGGCTAATTAGAAATTTTTCGATCAGAATATTTTGTATAAAGATAAATATTATATTTTTTGATTATAGGAGTAACTCTGGTAGGCCTGAAACAGTCTTCCTCACCTCAAGTGCAACTGTCGGAGTCAGTTGGAGCACCAGGGCGCACTGCCTTCATATCATAGGCCTGTAGTATCTAAGGCTTAATAATAGCCACACCATACCAAACCTTCACAAACGTTTCTCAACTTTATTAGGGTAATAGCAAAAGTAAGTCAAGCAATTGTTTATAGGTCAAATACAAGCAGAAAAGCAAATGTAAACCAGGGAAAAAATGCAATACCCTTTCATGTGCCCAATTAAAAAAAAAAAAAACACACAACCCTCCCTAAAGCAAAAAGTTTGACAACCCTCCCCTATTTTGGACCACCACTCCCCCCAGTAAATTTTGATCAGTGCCTAAATAGCATAGGCTACAGCAGGGATGGGCAACTGGCAGCCCACCGGACCAATAAAAAAACAACATCAAAAAAACTAACTCGGGAACTGTCGGGGTCTCAACTTACTGTTGAGAATTAGAATAATCACATTTCAAAATGTGGTTGTGCCTCAGCAGTCCCTCAATTAGCCCATGTCAGCAAAAACATTTTTGATTGGTAAGTTAGTCTAGCGGCCAGCTATCTAAACTTGTAGTAAGCATAGTCGAATTACTGACTGGGGTGACTCCCTTGATCATCAGTTATCACATAAAAAACTCCACCCTATGGCAAAATGAGTAGAATTGCATGAAATGTGTTAGAAAATTGCTAAATCTTCTCTCCGCCCCATGGCAAAATGTGTAGAGGTGAAGAAAATGTACTTGAAAACGTTTTTTTTTCTCTTTTAGCTGTCACGAGGGGGGCCACTAAAATGTTTTGTACGCAAGGTGTGGGGGGATGGATGTGGGTACTCAGACCCACGAGCCACTGCGGCCCCTCATGAGGAGTTCAGTTTTTTTGTGGCCCCCACCCCCGTCAAAGTTGCCCATGCCTGGGCTACAGTAACGAGTGATAGCAACAGTAAAAATAAAACATCCAGTGTTTGCTCAATGTTTGGAGTGTTGACAGTCAACATTGTTGTGATTGACTTGAACGAGTATAGGCCTTTATGCATTGCACTTCTCAAATAAAAAATACTAAGCCCCCTAAATTGTATTGTATGTGTGAGGCACATTCTCAATAAGCAAAATATAGCCTAGGCCTACTGTTGATATGGCGTTATAGGACTGAAAATGTTGAATAACCTATGTTTGGAGGAGCGCTCTTTGGAAATGAGGATGGATTTAAGCCGAATGGATTATGCACTGCAGGTAGGGCTATGTGAATAATGCAAAAGCATGTCGGCAAAAGCCTCACGAGTAAACCATTTAGAAACTTTTAATGGCTATGCTCCTGGGCTAATGAATGGTCAGGATAAAAATGACACCAGATGCATTAATGTTGAACCGTCTTTCGTTAGGGTAAGGGTAGCCTACTATAAGGGCTTATTTTTTAATATATCGAAACTAACTTAAATGTTTCTAAATATGAGAGTCACCAGATTATCTCATCTCTCGCTACATGATGGGCATATGGCCTAGGTACAGTTGAAGTCGGAAGTTTACATACACCTTAGCCAAATACATTTAAACTCAGTTTTTCACAATTCCTGACATTTAATCCAAGTAAAAATCCCCTGTTTTAGGTCAGTTAGGATCACCACTTTATTTTAAGGATGTGAAATGTCAGAATAATAGTAGAGAGAATTATTTATTTCACTTTTTATTTATTTCATCACATTCCCAGTGGGTCAGAGGTTTACATACACTCAATTAGTATTTGGTAGCATTGCCTTTAAATTGTTTAACTTGGGTCAAACGTTTCGGGTAGCCTTCCACAAGCGTCCCACAATAAGTTGGGTGAATTTTGGCCCATTCCTCCTGACAGAGCTGGTGTAAATGAGTCAGGTTTGTAGGCCTCCTTGCTCGCACACGCTTTTTCAGTTCTGCCCACACATTTTCTATAGGATTGAGGTCAGGGCTTTGTGATGGCCACTCCAATACCATGACTTTGTTGTCCTTAAGTCATTTTGCCACAACTTTGGAAGTATGCTTGGGGTCATTGTCCATTTGGAAGACCCATTTGCGACCAAGCTTTACCTTCCTGACTGATGTCTTGAGATGTTGCGTCAATATATCTACATACTTTTCCTTCCGCATGATGCCATCTATTTTGTGAAGTGCACTAGTCCCTCCTGCAGCAAAGCACCCCCACAGCATGATGCTGCCACCCCAGTGCTTCACGTTTGCGATGGTGTTCTTCGGCTTGCAAGTTCCCCTTTTTCCTCCAAACATGACGATGGTCATTATTGCCAAACAGCTCTATTTTTGTTTCATCAGACCAGAGGACATTTCTCCAAAAAGTACGATCTTTGTTCCCATGTGCAGTTGCAAACCTTAGTCTGGCTTTTTTATGGCGGTTTTGGAGCAGTGGCTTCTTCCTTGCTGAGCGGCCTTTCAGGTTATGTCGATATAGGACTCGTTTTACTGTGGATATAGATACTTTTGTACCTGTTTCCTCCAGCATCTTCACAAGATCCTTGGCTGTTGTTCTGGGATTGATTTGCACTTTTCACACCATAGTACGTTCATCTCTAGGAGACAGAACGCGTCTCCTTCCTGAGCGGTATGACAGCTGCGTGGTCCCATGGTGTTTATACTTGCGTACTATTGTTTGTACAGATGAACGTAGTACCTTCAGGCGTTTGGAAATTGCTCCCAAGGATGAACCAGACTTGTGGAGGTCTACAATTATTTTTCTGAGGTCTTGGCTGATTTCTTTTGATTTTCCCATGATGTCAAGCAAAGAGGCACTGAGTTTGAAGGTAGGCCTTGAAATACATCCACAGGTACACCTCCAATTGACTCAAATGATGTCAATTAGCCATTCAGATGCTTCTAAAGCCATTACATCATTTTCTGGAATTTTCCAAGCTGTTTAAAGGCACAGTCAACTTCGTGTATGTAACCTTCTGACCCACTGGAATTGTGATACAGTGAATTATAAGTGAAATAATCTGTCTGTAAACAATTGTTGGAAAAATTACTTGTGTCATGCACAAAGTAGATGTCCTAACCGACTTGCCAAAACTATAGTTTGTGGAGTGGTTGAAAAACGAGTTTTAATGACTCCAACCTAAGTCTATGTAAACTTCCAACTTCAACTGTAAATGGAGCGGTTTTTACACACATCTAAAATAATAACAGGAGCTGGCTAAAATAATATTATGAGGGAAAAAGTGAGGGAAAAACGTATTTGATCCCCTGCTGATTTTGTACGTTTGCCCACTGACAAAGACATGGTCTGTCTATACTTTTAATGGTAGGTTTATTTGAACAGTGAGAGACAGAATAACAACAACAAAAATCCAGAAAAACGCATGTCAAAAATTTTATAAATTGATTTGCATTTTAATGAAGGAACTAAGTATTTGACCCCTCTGCAAAACATGACTTAGTACTTGGTGGCAAAACCCTTGTTGGTAATCACAGAGGTCAGAAATTTCTTGTAGTTGGCCACCAGGTTTGCACACATCTCAGGAGGGATTTTGTCCCACTACTCTTTGCAGATCTTCTCCAAGTCATTAAGGTTTCGAGCCTGACGTTTGGCACTCGAACCTTCAGATCCCTCCACAGATTTTCTATGGGATTAAGGTCTGGAGACTGGCTAGGCCACTCCAGGACCTTAATGTGCTTCTTCTTGAGTCACTCCTTTGTTGCCTTGGTTGTGTGTTTTGGGTCATAGTCATGCTGGAATACCCATCCACGACCCATTTTCAATGCCCTGGCTGAGGGAAGGAGGTTCTCACCCAAGATTTGACAGTACATGGCCCCGTCCATCGTCCCTTTGATGTGGTGAAGTTGTCCTGTCCCCTTAGCAGAAAAACACGGGCGCTGCAGGATTTCAGTCCTTCACGGCGTAGTGTGTTACCAATTGTTTTCTTAGTGACTATGGTCCCAGCTGCCTTGAGATCATTGACAAGAAACTCACGTGTAGTTCTGGGCTGATTCCTCACCGTTCTCATGATCATTGCATCTCCACGAGGTGAGATCTTGCATGGAGCCCCAGGCCGAGGGAGATTGACAGTTATTTTGTGTTTCTTCCATTTGCGAATAATCGCACCAACTGTTGTCACCTTCTCACCAAGCTGCTTGGCGATGGTCTTGTAGCCCATTCCAGCCTTGTGTAGGTTTGGAATCTGATTGATTGATTGCTTCTGTGGACAGGTGTCTTTTATACAGGTAACAAGCTGAGATTAGGAGCACTCCCTTTAAGAGTGTGCTCCTAATCTCAGCGTGTTACCTGTATAAAGGACACCTGGGAGCCAGAAATCTTTCTGATTGAGAGGGGGTCAAATGCTTATTTCCCCTCATTAAAATGCAAATCAATTTATAACATTTTTGACATGCGTTTTTCTGGATTTTTTTGTTGTTATTTTGTCTCTCACTGTTCAAATAAACCTACCATTAAAATTATAGACTGATAATTTCTTTGTCAGTGGGCAAACTTATAAAAAAATCAGCAGGGGATCAAATACTTTTTTCCCTCACTGTAACTATTCAACCCCCCAAAGTCAATACTTTGTAGAGCCACCTTTGCAGCAATTACAGCAGCAAGTCTCTTGGGGTATGTCTCTATAAGCTTGGCACATCTAGCCACTGGAATTATTGCCCATTTTTCAAGGCAAAACTGCTCCAGCTCCTTCAAGTTGGATGGGTTCTTCTTGTGTACAGCAATCTTTATGTCATACCACAGATTCTCAATTGGATTTAGGTCTGTGCTTTGACTAGGCCATTCCAAGACATTTAAACGTTTCCCCTTAAACCACTCGAATGTTGCTTTAGCTGGAAGGTGAAACTCTATCCCAGTCTCAAATCTCTGGAAGACTGAAACAGGTTTCCCTCAAGAATTTCCCTGTATTTTAGCCATCCATCATTCCTTCAATTCTGACCAGTTTCCCAGTCCCTGCCGATGAAAAACATCCCCACAGCATGATGCTAACACCACCATGCTTCACTTTGGGGATGGTGTTCTTGGGGTGATGAGAGGTGTTGGGTTTGCGCCACACATAGCGTTTTCCTTGATGGCCAAAAAGCTCAATTTTAGTCTCATCTGACCAGAGTACCTTCTTCCATATGTTTGGGGAGTCTCCCACATGCCTTTTGGCAAACACCAAACGTGTTTACTTATTTTTTTCTTTAAGCAATGGCTTTTTTCTGGCCACTCTTCCGTAAAGCCCAGCTCTGTGGAGTGTACGGCTTAAAGTGGTCCTATGGACAGATGCTCCAATCTCCTCTGTGGAGCTTTGCAGCTCCTTCAGGGTTATCTTTGGTCTCTTTGTTGCCTCTCTGATTAATGCCCTCCTTGCCTGGTCTGTGAGTTTTGGTGGGCGGCACTCTCTTGGCAGGTTTGTTGTGGTGCCATATTCTTTCAATTTTTTAATAAAGGATTTAATGGTGCTCCGTGGGATGTTCAAAGTTTCAGATATTTTTTTAACCCAATCCTGATCTGTACTTCCCCACAACTTTGTCCCTGACCTGTTTGGAGAGCTCCTTGGTCTTCATGGTGCCGCTTGCTTAGTGGTGTTGCAGACTCTGGGGCCTTTCAGAACAGGTGTATATATACTGAGATCATGTGATACTTAGATTGCACACATGTGGACTTTATTTAACTAATTATGTGACTTCTGAAGGTAATTGGTTGCACCAGATCTTATTTAGGGGCTTCATAGCAAAGGGGGTGAATACATACGCACGCACCACTTTTCCATTATTAATTTTTTTGAATTTTTTGAAACAAGTTATTTTTTTCATTTCACTTCACCAATTTGGACTATTTTGTGTATGTCCATTACATGAAATCCAAATAAAAATCCATTTAAAGTACAGGTTGTAATGCAACAAAATAGGAAAAACGCCAAGGGGGATGAATACTTTTGCAAAGCACTGTACAACTAAGGGACAGATCAAATTTATGGGGGGTGGGGTGGTCCAAAATAGGGGAGGGTTGTCAAACTTGTTTTTTTTACTTTGGGGAGGTTTGTGTGTTTGTTTGTTTTTTGTTTTTGGGGGGGGGGGTCAATGCATTTTTTTCCCCCTGGTTTACATTTTCTCGTATTGTCCCTATAAACAATGGCTTGACTTACTTTTGATATTACCCTAATAAAGTTTAGAAACATTTGTGAAGGTTTGGTATGGTGTGGCTATTATTAAGTTTTAGCTACTGCAGGCCTATGATATGAAGGCAGTGCGCCCTGATGCTCCAACAGTTGAACTTGAGGGGACAAAGACTGTTTCAGGCCTACCAGAGTTACTCCTATAATGTAACAATATCATGCTTATCTTTATAGAAAATATTCGGATTGAAAATGTATGAATTACCCTCCTTCTGTACCTCTATATCTGTATAGCAGACGCAGTAGCCATATGTCAAAAAGGAAAGCATGTCGGTGTCGTAGCATGCCACCAGCATATGTCTATCTCTCTGGGGTCAGGCTGAATCTTCTCTTCCTTTATATAGGCTATATTTTTAATAAAATATTAATATCATACAGTGGACACCTAAGCCTATAGGCCCATGTATGCAATGCCCTGATACATCTAGTGCTCAAATTTCTGACAGCTGAACCATGTGATGGACCATTATTGTTTTAGGAAAGTAGCCTAAAAACCAATTAAGAAAAGGCTATAAAGTTTTGCATATGCTACACATCGAAACACAATACATTTTGTTTTTGTTATAGGCTGTTTTTAAGGACACGCAAATGTGGCTGATTTGGCCAACATCACTAGTTTTTCTGATGGCGCTGGCTGCGCCATGTTGGATCTGAATGCATATGGATGTCCATACAATTTCTCAAATGTCCTGTAAATTAAAATCTTCCTGTCATGTTGTCCGGCACCACATTTTCCTAAAGGAAACTCTTAAATGGCATATTGTTTTTATGAAGATTTTAGAATATTCACATGAAAATGTGTTGTTATTGGATGGAAACCTAGCTATAGACACCCTAAAGACTCTGGCAAGTGCGCTAGTCCAGTGTCACTTTGGTTATGCCTGCACATCATGGTTCACCAGCAGCCACAAACATCTAAAGAATAAGCTACCAGCCAAACAAGCTTGTAAGAATTGTACTTAAACTCCCTCCTCATACTTATCTGGAGGTAGAGCATGTTTTCATCTCTTTCTCTGTAATATGTCTATCTATGTAATTCTATATGTATATATGTAAAAAATTGGGACCACAATAGAAGTCCTCGACTTTATTGTGCAATCCCGGTCACTTAAAACAAATATTTGTGTATATATGTATTTTTTTAACTGACAAATCAAATCAAATCAATCCAAACTGTGCAGCGGCTAGTTGATGAATGTAAAGAGACATCTGTTACAAAACACAAAAATGTTTAATGACATTCGGAGAAGCCTTCGAATACTGGGTAAGCCTACAAGGTAGGGAGGGATGTATTTTCTGTTTGTCGAGATTGACATAGTCTATTTATTTTGGTGTTGAAAACGCAAACCATGATATCGAAGTGTCTGAAGACGGTATGCTTTTTTTATTGGTTGTGGTGCATTGGCACAGAAACCTGTTGGTGGGAAATGTGTTGCATATATTTTATATAATTTATAAAAATGGAAAATGTTGAAAATCTGATTCCCCTTTAGCTGATCATTGTCTGCAGCCGGATCTGATCGTAGTGTAATGAAACAGGCAGGGAGATTGAGCTCGTCTGTGGTGGTCGGCGAACCCTCAACCTTCTACCCTAGCCTGTAGCCCTGCGTGGCATCGACTGGCATGCTGAAGTGGCAAGGTTCATCTCGACGTTTATGAACACAGGGTCGCGACAGTTATTGTTATTTGTGGTCGTAAACATTATTTGGAGTTAATTCTATGAGGGTCGAGGGTGTTCAATTTATTTTACAGGGGGAGGGTCATGTGAAAATATTAGAAGCTTTGGCGAGGGGGGTGCCTTTTTTTATGACACCTTGAGTCGGACTAGCCCCTCCCCCCAGTACATTTTGATCTGTGTCTAACATTATGGAAGCACTCACTTACAAACTTAAAAGACCCCCATTGCGGTCTGTATATCATCAAGTTCATAGGCTATATTTCCCTTTCATTAAGTAGAACATGTCCACATGCGAAGGAAACAAATAACAGGCATCTAAACAGGGTATCTAGACAGAGTACTAAGGTGAAAATAGTAACCTTCTCGTGAGGCGACACACTGGAGGGGATCTGGGCCTGCTCGTTCTCCGTTAACCAGTTCCGTCGCGCTAGCTCCTCCCACTCTGCCTGCATCTTGTCCCAGAACTCTGTGTCTGACTGTGGAGGGATGGTGTTTTGAGGGAGGGAGAAAGGGAAAAGTGGGCGGATTAGTAAACAGAGGACTGATAGCTTTGATACTTTGAGAATGCTGCATCCCCCTGCCACAGAAATGTCACGTCCATCTCGCTCATTCATTGGCAGGTTGTGTAATGTATGGACTTCTGATGACTCATCACTATTGCATGCAAAGGCAGCGCTCAAATGTCAAAAATGTGCTTGACCTTTGACCTTTCAGTTGTTGACATTTCGGTTGATGAATTGATGTCCAGGAATTTGCAGTGTATGTGCAAAGCTCTAGACACAACAAACAGCCACCTTGATTGGCGTTATAACTACATATCCTTTGATACCAAACTAGCAGGTATGGAGGCCACACCTTTTCCTTAGGTCACACCTCCTTGTATTTGTAGTGGTGTAATGCTGACCAATTGTTTGTCATGGTTTTGAGTGGGAGGATGGAACTCAATTGCTCGATCATTCCTTGATAAAGGGAAAGATGTTTGAAAGAGGGAAGCTTTCTGGTCTGGGTCATTCTCCAGGTGCTGATTGTTACTGTTGTGATTCTAGCTAGTAGGTCCAACCCTTCAAAGGACTGCTGATTTTCTGTTCTCCAAATTATTTTATGGATCGCAAAGTGCCTTCAAATGAAAATCAAGTGGATGCAAAGAACTTCATTCTGGTGAGATCTATCCTTTAGTTTCTATCCTATAGTCGGAATTGGGCAAATACTGCATTACCATGTGTCTCTTGATTTACTGTCTTGGTAGTTATTCTTTTTTGGTATCATGGCAAAATGGGAGTTAAAGTACTTTTTCAGTTAGGACAGTCACAAAACACAAATTACATCAGATGCTTGTTACAAATTGAGGCAAGTATTGAATATCTTCATTTGGACAGAAACAGGTCATGGGAAGTGCTTGTGCTGAGTCTATTAGCCCTCACCTCACAGCTAAGGTACAGCATTAGGCCAAAGACCTCCAAGCGTGTCACTGTCGATAACTCCATGGGCCAGTGAGCAATGAGAAAAGTGAGAAAGATGACTGCTTTCAAAGAGCAAACGTTGCAGACACCTCCAGAAACCCCAAAAGAGTGCATTTCGACGTGTCTCAGCCTTGCCAATCAAATTCCTGCCAAGACTAATTTTACACTTTAGGCTACAGATGTCGGATCTTAATAATAATAATACTAATAATTAACTTGATCACTCTTGTCAGGGAGAATTTTCCTGCTGCATCAGGAAATTCAAATGAGCCTCGTGATTCCTTGAAAATGTGCAGCTCTCTTTATCTTCATGCGGGGGCAGGCGAGTCATTGGGATCAGGCCTGCTATCAAAATAATATAATATTATAGTAACATGAGATGCGCTGTAGCCTGCATAGGCTACTTGAACTGACACCTTATTATACTGAACAAAAATATAAACGCAACATGTAAATTGTTGGTCCCATGTTTCATGAGCTGAAATAAAAGATCCCAGAAATGTTCCATTCGCACAAAAAGCTTCTTTCTCAAAAATTTCGTGCACAAATCTGTTTATATCCCTGTTAGTGAGCATTTCTCCTTTGCCAAGATAATCCATCCACCTGACAGGTGTGGCATATCAAGAAGCTGATTAAACATCATGATCATTACACAGCACCTTGTGATGGGGACAATAATAATAATAAGTCATTTAGCAGACGCTCTTATCCAGAGCGACTTACAGGAGCAATTAGGGTTAAGTGCCTTGCTCAAGGGCACATCGACAGATTTTTCACCTAGTCGGCTTGGGGATTAGAACCAGCGACCTTTCGGTTACTGGTACAATGCTCTTAACCACTAAGCTACCTGCCGCCCCTAAAATGTGCAGTTTTGTCACACAACACAATGCCACAGATGTCTCAAGTTTTGAGGGAGCGTGCAATTGGCATGCTGACTGCAGGAATGTCCACCAGAGCTGTTGCCAGATCATTTAATGTTCATTTCTCTACCATAAGCTGCCTCCAACATCGTTTTAGAGAATTTGGCAGTACGTCCAACCGGCCTCACAACCGCAGACCACGTGTAACCATGCCAGCCCAGGACTTCCACATCCGGCTTCTTCACCTGCAGGATCGTCTGAAACCAGCCACCTGGACAGCTGATGAAACTGAGGAGTATTTATGTCTGTAATAAAGCCCTTTTGTGAGGAAAAACTCATTCTGATTGGCTGGGCCTATGCCTTGGCAGCGCCCCTGCCCAGTCATGTGAAATCCATAGATGAGGGCCTAATGAATTTATTTCAACTGACTGATTTCCTTATATGAACTGTAACTCAGTAAAATCGTTGAAATTGTTGTGTTTATATTTTTGTTCAGTATATTTTATTCTATAGCCTACAAACACCGCTTCCATCTTCCCTCAGGCAGCGATTCTAAATATTTAATATTCATTAAAATCCTCCTGCTGCAGGATTATTGTCCTCTAGCGATGAAAGGGGTCAAATTAAGATTCAACATCTGTACCAACCGACTCGGCTGCTTTCTGATTCACTGTCCCAGCCAGAGAGTGATAGTGAATGCTATTTTGCTATTTCATCTCTTAAAGGGAAATTTCACCGCTGCTCGTTCACTGTATATGTCCATTTATATGTTATTAACATACAGTGCCTTCGGAAAGTATTCAGACCCCTTGACATTTTCCACTTTGTTACGTTACAGCCTTATTCTAAAATGGATTAAATGGAACACTGAACAGAACAGCGCCGGAGAAGATGGCTGCCGTTTTACAGCCCTCTAACCAATTGTACTATTATGTGTGTTTTTCCGCGTTATTTGTAATTTATTTTGTACATAATGTTTCTGCCATCGTCTCTTATAACCAAAAAGAGCTTCTGGATATCAAGACAGCGATTACTCACCTCGTATTTGGACGAAGATTTTTTCTTCAACGAGGCGGCCGCGAAGGATATCCTACAGACACCCGACAAGGCCCAAATCCCCGTCATTCGCGTGAGGAAGAGACAGAGATATCGTGGACGTAGGGTGGGGTGCCTTGTAAGGATCCGACGGCGAGCGAGTAAACTGCCTCTTCCATCAATCCTATTAGCCAATCTTCAATCATTGGAGAACAAATTGGATGACCTAAGATTACGGTTATCCTACCAACGGGACATTAGAAACTGTAATATCTTATGTTTCACCGAGTCGTGGCTGAACGACGACATGGATAACATACAGCTAGCGGGCTATACGCTACATCGGCAGGACAGAACGTCTGACTCCGGAAAGACAAGGGGTGGCGGTCTGTGTATATTTGTAAACAACAGCTGGTGCACAAAATCAAATACTAAGGAAGTCTCGAGGTTTTGCTCGCCTGAGGTAGAGTATCTTATGATAAGCTGTAGACCACACTATTTACCAAGAGAGTTTTCATCTATATTTTTCATAGCTGTCTATTTACCACCACAAACCAATGCTGGCATTAAGATTGCATTGAATGAGCTGTATAAGGCCATAAATCAGCAGGAAAACGCTCATCCAGATGCAGCGCTCCTAGTGACCGGGGACTTTAATGCAGGGAAACTTACATCCGTTCTACCTAATTTCTACCAGCATGTTAAATGTGCAACCAGAGGAAAAAATACTCTAGACCACCTTTACTCCACACACAGAGACGCATACAAAGCTCTCCCTCGCCCTCCATTTGGCAAATCTGACCATAACTCTATCCTCCTGATTCCTGCTTATAAGCAAAAACTAAAGCAGGAAGCACCAGTGACTCGGTTAATAAAAAAGTGGTCAGATGACACAGATGCTAAGCTACAGGACTGTTTTGCTTGCACAGACTGGAACATATTCCGGGATTCTTCAGATAGCATTGAGGAGTACACCACATCAGTCACTGGCTTCATCAATAAGTGCATCGATGATGTCGTCCCCACAGTGACCGTACGTACATACCCCAACCAGAAGCCATGGATTACAGGAAACATCCGCACTGAGCTAAAGGGTAGAGCTGCCGCTTTCAAGGAGCGGGACTCTAACCCGGACGCTTATAAGAAATCCCGCTATGCCCTCCGACGAACCATCAAACAGGCAAAGAGTCAATACAGGACTAAGATTGAATCGTACTACACCGGCTCTGACGCTCGTCGGATGTGGCAGGGCTTGAAAACTATTACAGACTACAAAGGGAAGCACAGCCGCGAGCTGCCCAGTGACACAAGACTTCCAGACGAGCTAAACCACTTATATGCTCGCTTCGAGGCAAGCAACACTGAAGCATGCATGAGAGCACCAGCTGTTCCGGATGACAATGTGATCATGCTCTCCGTAGCCGATGTGAGTAAGACTTTTAAGCAGGTCAACATTCACAAGGCCGCAGGGCCAGACGGATTACCAGGACGTGTACTCCGAGCATGTGCTGACCAACTGGCAAGTGTCTTCACTGACATTTTCAACATGTCCCTGATTGAGTCTGTAATACCAACATGTTTCAAGCAGACCACCATAGTCCCTGTGCCCAAGGACTCTAAGATAACCTGCCTAAATGACTACCGACCCGTAGCACTGACGTCTGTAGCCATGAAGTGCTTCGAAAGGCTGGTCATGGCTCACATCAACAGCATTATCCCAGAAACCCTAGACCCACTCCAATTTGCATACCACCCCAACAGATCCACAGATGATGCAATCTCTATTGCACTCCACACTGCCCTTTCCCACCTGGACAAGAGGAACACCTACGTGAGAATGCTATTCATTGACTACAGCTCAGCATTCAACACCATAGTGCCCTCAAAGCTCATCACTAAGCTAAGGATACTGGGACTAAACACCTCCCTCTGCAACTGGATCCTGGACTTCCTGACAGGCCGCCCCCAAGTGGTAAGGGTAGGTAACAACACATCTGCCACACTGATCCTCAACACGGGGGCCCCTCAGGGGTGCGTGCTCAGTCCCCTCCTGTACTCCCTGTTCACCCATGACTGCATGGCCAGGCACGACTCCAA